TATAAAAATTCATTTGATAACTCCAGTTCTTTTTGCTACATTGATTTTCTTTTTTTAGATTCTTTTAATAGGAAGAAGTCATGATGGTACCTGTGCTTTTTAAATATATCGAGTATGTATTTTTTGTTTAACCTGAATATTATATTATTAAATGAATTATTTTGTTCTTGTCAAATCATATATTTGTTCGAATTTAATGGCAGATCTATCCGTGTGTCAAAAGATATCAACAGAATGATAGGCAAAAAGTGTGCATGCTTTGAATGTGAATCAATGTATGTTTTTGTGTTTTTTATATTTATGTTCAGCATTTGATATTCAACATAAATTGTGCAATTTTAGAGGCACTGATCATGTAATACGCAAGTTATCTGTAAAATCTCTACACATGTTGCCATTGAAACTTAACATCAATTTAATTATCGTTACTGATGAGGAGTGTAGCTTGAAAAAAAGTAAACATGAAATCACAAAAATCGTCAACAAAAATAAAAAATAAAAATAAAAGTTTATAATAATTGCATTTTTATTCCCATCTTTTGAATAATATATTCTGGCATACATAAAACCGGATTTACTTTTTTAATTATATTTTCATCATATACATTTAATAATGATAAACCAGCTACACCAAATAATGTATGAAATGGATCAGATATATTTCCAGGACGATCAGCACAACCACCTGTTTCATCATCTTGTGCAGCTAAAATAAATTTACTTAATTTTTCACTATTAATCCATTGAAGTTTTCCAAGAATTTTTAATGATGCTAAAACCCACCAAGAATAACATACATCCGGTAATTTTTCTGGTCGACCATTTAATCCACCTGATTTATCTAATTGTCGTTCACATAACCACCATGCTAACATATTTTTTGTTGATAAATCAAGATTATCAAGACGTTGAACAAGTGATAAAAATCCTAAACAACAATAAATTTGTCCAGCATGGGATTCTGCACCAGGTATACAACCAAAACCACCATCAAAATTTAAACAATTCATAATAAAATTTGTTGCACGATCAATATCAATAACATCTAATGAATCAATTAATTTTAAACATGCAATAGCACAAAATGAAAAACGTGTATCTATTTCTCCCCATTGATCACCTGTAAAACTTCCATCATCTTGTTGTAATTGTTTTATATATGAACATAAATTTTGTTTATCAATTAAATCTATTCGATTTAATTGAACAAGTAATTGTACTGCTGATAATGTATATAATAAATGTGGATCATGATTTGGACATGGTGAATAACCACCAGAATTTTTATCATAACATTTTTGTATATAATCAATAATATATTCTTGATCAATTAATTTTAATGAATGAAGTAAATCAAGACATGTACAAAGCCAATAAATACCACTCATACGAAGATAATCAGTTGTACCATATTCATATGTATTATGTGAACGACCATAACCAGTTAAAAATGCACAATGTTTTTCAATGAGTAAATCTTTTTGTGCCTTAGAATAATCAATTGTTATATCACGTTGAGGTGTACCCATCTGAAAAATGAGAATATTAACAAACAAAAAAAAAAACAAGAACATTTTGATACATGATATGTAAAAAAAAATCTGTGTGAAGCTACCACAACACAACACGACCATTGAGCAAGACCAGTAGAATATTATGACACGTCAAAATGAAAACCAATCAGAAAGCAACAAATAAAAAATACCACTATGAAGGAGAGACCCATGGACATGGTACTCCATAGTAACCGTAGCATATATATCACTGCTATACATACGGCTATTGTAATATCGAAAACATGAGAAAAAGTTTATTATTTTTCCTACGAAATTATTTTTGTGCATAATTTCTAGAGTTCTTCCTATCCTCGAAAAAAGCACGCATCTTCCAATTTTCTACTAAAAATATTGAATATTTTGATCAAAAAAAAATGAAAATGAGCAACTCCACAGAAACAATAGACTAGTTTTAAAGATAGGACTTTTTCCTTAATAAAAAAGATATTACTATTGATGATTAAAAATAATTGATTGTATCAGTTTAAAAAAAACTAATTATTATCAATTTGGACTTTATTTAATCCATATTATTATAGGAATTTGGCTAAAAATTATAGTTATATCTACTGTTAATCTGTTAGAACACTAGGATTTAAAACCGAAATAAAAATTAAAAAAAATATAACAAAATGATAGTTTCAATTTTGAGTTTAAAAACTGAACGGAGATATGAATACGCAAAAGTTGGCCATTTCTAAACCATTTTTGCATGCCTGAAATATATGTAAACAAGTTCTCTAATACTGCTGACATTATCGTCTCTCCTATTCTCTCATAGAAATTTTTAATGTGTAGTATGACAAAAGAAATGATAACATTTTCTGAGCTAAATAAAATAGCAAGTGAGGTTTTACATCGTGCTCGACTCATTACATGTGACGAAGTCTTTGTATGAGAGAAGGTTATTCAATACGTTCTAATTAAATACTGTACATATCGTGTTTCTATGCAAATAAAAAAAAAAGATTCGGTTCAAAGTACGCTCTTTCTAGTGTGCTATTACGGTTTTCTATAAAAATGCAAAGTTTCGGTCGATTAGTAATTATTTTAGTGAAAATTTCAATAAAACTACTTGCACTTGATAGTGGAGTCATTTGTTGTTAATTATATGTAGAAAAATATAATGAGATAAATGAAATGAGATTTATGTTACCGAAATCTATTATCCCATTCGGAAACTTCAGAAAATATATTCATTATATTAACATTGTCATATATTAAGCCGTCAAAGCTAATTCAATAGCTTCTATAATCTCTGACTGGTGTACGTTAAAGGTATTAAGCATGAGACCACAGTACTGCCATTAATGATAGTCATCTCTTTTTTGAACTTCGAAAAATTAAAGTAAAGAATTGTGCCTCTAAATTTCTACATCGAACAGAGTTTGGATTGATCATGTCATTGAAGCATGTGAAAAGTACAGATATAATAACAATCAAACCTCAATATGTACTCCAATTACATAAATCTAGACTGCCCTTTTATGTCTTATAAACTGTTATTCAATGTCAATAGATGAATTGTGAAAACAAGCTTTTATCAAGTAAGCAATGAGATAGTACATATATATATATATATATATTTATGTCAGCGTCCAATCTTGGATTCAGTCCAATCTTGGGTACCTACATTAGAGTAGTCCAAGTTCCGATTGAAGTGATTCTATTCACTAAAATATTAATAACTCTTTAATTAGACGCCACATTCGACCTATTTTTTAAAATTATGATCACATGATATCAATTTGTTTGACGCAATTGTTGCTACAGAGATTAAAGAATAGTTTTAAAAATTATAAGTTTCTTCAGAGCAATAACTTTTACGGGAAATTGTTATTATTTTTTGAATTTAAATTAAGCTACTTCGCTGATGCTTGTAACACCGAAAAATGTGTTATGAGAACATAATTTCGAAAATTCATAAGAATCTAACGAGTTACTAATGTTTTATTAAGGCGAATTCTGTCGATCCGAAATTAGACTAGTCCAATGTGAGCATCCAAGATATATTGAATTCGAGATTGGACGCTGACATATATATATGTCGTGCCGAAGTTATAACTTCGACAAAATTTTTGCCGAAGTTACAACTTCGACGGACGATGTTGTCGAAGTTAGTGTGAATGATAAAATAAATATCAACTTTCAAGAAATCAACAATATCTTTCGTGTTGTATCTTAAAAATTATTTTTTTCCATCAAAACAATAATACAAAATTTATTTTTCAATATTATGACAAACGTGCGAATATTCAGACGAATAAAAGGAGCAATATGTTAATTTTTTTCTGCGTTGAAATTATTAATATATTATATAATCTTAGAGTTTCATACAAGATTGTTGTATCTTTTGTGATCATCTTAGTATTACATAGTCAAGTTTCTGATCGCTCCACCTCTTTCAATCAGTCAAATGTACTAATCTACGAACATTCCCTACTTGATTTATTAATCTTACAATATTTTTTTAATTATTTAGCTGACTAGTTTAGATATGTAAAATGAATTGGTTTTTTAAAAATATTCATTCTCACATTAGTTCTACAATTGATTTATCGAATAAAAAACAGTAAGCCCATAAATCAATAAATAAATATAAATTACCAAAAGATACTAATTAGATCAAAGTTGAATGAAATCTGATGCTGAAACATCACAGATATTTTCGATCAATGATATACTATTTATTAACAAAGATCTTTAAGATTCATGGTACTTAAAAAATCTTATTAGACTTCTTTTCATATTCTACCTTTTGTACTATATAAATAATACGATAAATTAACAAACAAAAGAAATAACTATGACTAAATCAGTTTATTCAAATAAAGAACATTTATTCTAATTTATCATGTTGGAATTAAAAACCTTTCTCAGATTGCATCATCCTGACACAGGGAATGACCGAACCCCGGGAATGCGAAATCCGGGAATGACCGAACCCGGGGAGTTCGGGCTCGGTGCATGTCTAGTTCTGTTGTTATTATATATGTGGTGTAAGTTTGCATGGACTAATGAATGTGCCTGTGGTTTTGATGGAATCGGTCACTGTTTGAGTTGTGTTTGTGTATGTTGGAAGAAGTGGAATGTGAAGGAAAGGATGATGTAGTCGAGTGTGTGAATTAGGTGAAGACAACGAAAAAAGTGATTTTCTTTAAAGAAGTAGATGGGATAAGTGTCCAATGGTTGTTGATGTTAGTCGATTGTTGAAGTTACAGAGAATTGCATTTTCAATGTACAGTTTTTTGGTTTTGAACAGTCGGTGACTGTTATATGGTGTTTTTAAACGAGGATTGGATGGCAACTAAGGATGAATTAGTGGTATTTTCTGAAGTGTGTTTGGTATTTTGTGGTTTTTTTTTATGATCGGTTAATTTAATGATGAATATGATTGGTCGTCGTGGTAGCGTCACATCGATAAAAAAAAATATATTTTTATTTTTATTTTAATGAAATCAAACACCAACGACGTGGTGATTTGATCGGATCGAAAAGTGTCACTAAATACGATGATGCCGTCGGTACCTGAAAAAAAAACAAAGAACAGAATTAAGATGATTGAATAAAAATAAAACAAACAGATTCTTGAAGAAAAACAAGTCGATCAAGTAAAATCATCATTTCAATTAAGCCAGAAAATAAAACTTTCAATTGAATAAATGTATGAAGTTGAAGATGACAGGATTCATAACGCATCCAATAATCATTGATCATACTTGATGTTATCTAATCAAAATAAAACACAAGAAAAATATTTATTGTAGTTTTTATTTCTTCTATTTTAAAGCTATATAGGAACGATCCATGTGAGAATTTTTTGTGTTAGATTAAATTTAAAAAAAAAAACAGTAACTATTTCTTAATGTAGAAACAAAAAAAGAAAAATGTCGAATTTTGTATTTAATCTTTAAAATTTACTTTTGTTTTATCTAATTTTAATTTATCTAATGCTTTCCATACATATTCTTCAAATGTTAAAGATTTTTTAGTTAACTTTCCTAATTTAATATCTTGTAAATCAGTTGCTAATCCATAAACTTCAATAAGAATGACTTGCATTAATGCTCGATACCATAAACCAGCATTTAATGTCTAGAGAAGAGTAATTTAAATAAATTTATTTATTTATTTTTTTGATTAAAGTCAAAATAATTTTACGTGATCTGCTTTATTTCTTTCAAATGATTGAACAGCAAGCATTCTTGCATTTCTACCTAATTTTGTTTTTTCTTGAATTAATCGATGACTCAATGGAAAACTACATGGATCAGTTTCACTATAATAATCTAAAACAAATTTTATATTTACATATAAAATTTATATACATACTTGTAAATGGATTTGCAACATATTTTTCTTCTAATAAATGATAACAACAAGCAACATTAGCTATTGCACGTACAGAAGGATTTTTAACAAAATGATATAAAAGTGAACATGATAATGATCCACAAGCATGTAGACTACAAAGAAGAAATGATAATGAATGACAATTAAATGTTTGATAAAATAATTTTTGAAAATTTGTTTCACTATCAACAATAGTTGATGTTGTTTTATATTTAGTATTATCACATAAGTCTTTTTGATATTTTAATAAAAGTTCTATACGTCGTTCACTACTATGTACAGTTGCTTCACATGATTCAATACCAAGAACATTTCTTTCATAGTCATGAGATATTTTTACACCTAAATAACCACGACCACTTCCATAATCAATTATCTTAAGAAATATAAAATATTATAATTACACAAAAAGAAAAAAAAACCATAGTTAACATGTAATTTTACCGAATCAGTACTAGCCATATTAGCTAATTGATCAATAACAGGAGCTAAAATTTCTACTTCATGTTCTTTTTTTTTACTCATAAATGTTCTTGTTGTATGTTTGTATGATTTTAATTCATTTTTATGTTTTTCTTGTAAAATTTCTTCTTCAAATTTTTCACGTGTATATGTTATCTGTTCAATTTTTCTTTTCCATTCAATTATATTATCAATAAATTCTTCTAAAAAATTTTTTGCTGGTAAACATTCTCTATAACGTTGTTCAAATAAATCATAAAGATCAATTCTTTCTTCTTGACGAATCCATTTAGGTACATAAGTATTCCAATGATCACGTGTTAAATAATCAACATTATGAGTATTTAATAACGGTAAATAAGGTTGAAGAAAATCACGAATACCAACAAGAATTTCTTCAATCATTTAATTATTCTATCTAGAATAGAATTCGATTTCACAAAAGATCTATTGTTATTAAAATGTGTATTTGTCTTTCAATTGTTGTTATCATTTTATTTTTGCTACGATTTTTGAAATATTTAATATGTATGGTTTTTGCATAGTCATTGAATTCAAAATGATAATAAAATTTACAAAAAGATGAATTATTATTTTATATCTTTTCTTAACTTATCGGTCAAATATGAGATAAAACAATTGTTTATTGCATGTGATCAAGTATTAATTCTTGTATGTTTTTAAATTTAACTTTATCAGAATCAATTATGAGTACGAAAAGTCTCTCTTTCAATCTAAAAAGAATAACTCACAACTTGGATACACTGTAATACATTGTTTGAAAAAACCAAGTAGAATATCATCTTGCATTTTGTTGTCGAAAATTTAATGTAGTTTGACTCATTGCTGCAGATTTCCACTTTTAGTCTACCCGCAAATAGCGATGAATCATCAATTCATTATCAAATCACAAGCGTTACTGTGTTTTGATTGGTCAGCTCGTATCGATGATTTCTCCGAATAGACATTTATTTTGAAAAAACTAAAAGCACATTTAGATAGAGAAAACTTTTCTGTATCGACCAGTATAAATCAAAACGTCGGCCCATTAAATTGTTTTTGGGAAAAGTCCGCTTTAAATGATTTGTATTTTGATTGGTCAGTTTCTATCGACCATTTCGCGGTATAGACATTTTTCCTGAAAAAAATAAAAGTACAGTTTAATAGAGAAAAATTTTCTGTATCGACTAGCATAGATCAAAAGTTCGGCCTATTTTGTTTTTTTTAACACACGTTGAACATAGCGCCTTTGATATTGATTCATGTAAATGTACATCTTTTTTCTGTTCTGCCTGCATACTATTTATGTACACTCCCATTGTTAATGTGCACAGAATGGAAAAAAAATTCTATTGGTGAAATGATTAAGCAAATGTTTCTCGATAAAATAAATACATATAAATAGATGTCATACAAAAGCGATACGTGTTGTATTGAACAGAAAAAAAATAGCGATGACTACTAATTAAGATATAAGAAGTAATTAAGAACAACGTGTTTGAAGTATTCATTATGAATGATGAATAAACTAAAATCAAGAAAGCAAAGATAAAAGTCGTTTTGATAATAAGATGAAAATTTTTCTTTTAATTAAATTTTTTTAAAAAGTCTCGTAATTATATTTGGAAATGGAAGGGCTTATATATATATTATCGAAGTGTTCTCATATTCTCGTAAGAAAAAATATTTCGATATTTTTCTATAATAAAAAAAATGACTGATCTCGTGAATGTTGATGATTTGGATTCTATCAATACCAGAAAAATTCATCAACTAACTGCTACACAAGATTTTTGTAGGCTCAGTAATACATTCTGATGAGTGGAGGGCTTATTTCCAACTTAATAACCATGCTCTATACACCCATTTAACTGTGAATCATTCTGTACATTTTGTTGATTCTGCGACTGGCGTGCACACGCAAAATATTGAAAATACGTGGATGAGAGTTAAACGAAAACATAAAAACAAGGAGGATTTTCAAGAATTTTATTGCATACTTATTTAGAAGAATTTATGTGGCGTCAGGATTTCAGCGATAAACCTCTTAAAAATCTTGTTTTACAAATACAATCTATTTATTCTGTTGTATAATTTTTTTTTAATAAAATTCTTTTCGTTCTCACATGACATCTATTTATATGTATTTATTTTATCGAGAAACATTCGCTTAATCATTTCACCAATAGAATTTGTTTTCCGTTCTGTGCACATTAACAATGGGGGTGTACATAAAGTGGTCGTCAGAAGTGAACCAAACTCGACGTGAACCAAACTCGAATCCACAGTCCATATTTCACCTATCTTGACTGATAATATGAGACAGCTATCGAAAGATGTCGCGTATAATTGGATTGTTTTTTATTGTATCTAATATTTCATTTTTTCTTCACTTCTTTTCATTTTTAACGTTTTTCGATTAGTAAATGATCGGTTGACATTGATTATATGCTCTGAAATCCGTAAGTTGGAATTAAATATATTCGATCAACAATAGCTCAATATTATACGATAAATTTTGTTAAATAAGAATCTCCTATCCTGAACTATAGTAATCTAATTTTGAATGCTTTTGCCACTTTAGTGTCACTTGCTAGTATAGATTCATAAATATAAATATCTATCGAATTTGCTTTGTGTTCAGATAGGAGCAAGATAGTAATTTGCGTTTTTCACGATTAACAAAGTGTGATAAAACTGTTTCAAATCGTATAGACCAGTTTTTTCTGACGCGTTTTCTCAGAGTCTGTCATCGAGTTTATGTAAAAAATACAACATATTGTAATATAGATTATAGAATTTCAATTTTCAAGTATGCACTAAAAGAATTAGCTAAAGATTTATAAATGATGAAAGTCCGATGTTGTAAGGCTTAGTCAATCATGAGTTAAAAGTATTTAACTGCGCATGATCGACATATTTTTCATATGGAATTTTTCTTTTAGTTTTTTCATAAATGATTCACCCTAAAACGTACAGGATATCTGGAAAGCAGCTCCCTATTTTAAATTCTTTTTTTCTCCCTAATAAGAATAGAAATTCTATTACTTTTTTTTTACTATTTTGAAGCATGCTTTATAAGGTTTTGTTTCACATAGGAAAGAATGTTAATGAATTGACTATTTAAGATCAAACGCAAATTTTATCTGAAGAATGCTTGAAAAATAACTTCTTATTTTTCATCGTTTATTACTTTTATACAAAGCATATATGTTTTAATAATTTTTTTCTATTTTGAGGTGTGTGTAATAGGTTTACGCGATAATGTCTCAAAAATAGTCGCAACAGTATTGCATTTCAAAACCATGAAAAAATTATTACAATATATATGCTTTGTATAAAAGTAATAAACGATGAAAAGTAAGAAGTTATTTTTCAGGTATTCTTCAGATGAAATCTTCGTTTGATCTTAAATAGTCAATTCATTAACACTCTTTCTTATGTGAAACAAAACCTTATAAAGCATGCTTCAAAATAGTAAAAAAAAGTAATACAATATCTATTCTTATAAGAGAGAAAAAAGAATTTAAAACAGGGAGCTACTTCCCAGACACCCTGTATTTAAAAGCCTCGATTTTTCAGAAAAATTAGTGAACGATTCTGAGAAAATTTGTCAGAAAAATCTGGTATATAAGATTCGATGTAGCTTCATTCCTTCTTTTATATGGTGCAAAGAACAAATATCTATCTTATTTCTATCAAAGATTATTTCAGAAATATTTGTTCTTTTCTGTTGACATGAATAATAGTATGTTTCATTTATTTGTTCTTGGACCACATGTAACCTATTAATATTAGATGAGCTTAAAGAATATATAAACTTTTACAGATAAGAACAAATTACTTACAAGAAAGACTTTTTCACCATCCTGTACCGTGATCCGTTCAGTACCATTCACTGTATCTCTCGATAGTATTTTCATTGATGATGGTGGTGCTGCTGTTGGAACCTAAAAAGAGCGAAATGATAGATTTTTTTTATATTAAAGTCATACTATGGGAATAAATTTCGTTACTAACTTGATTATAAAAAGCCATGATACTAATTGAGGTGTCTAGTAAATCAGCTAATTTACATTTTGGCAGAGGTAAAGAGTCCGCATACGGATGGTTGTTATACGTAATGAAGTGATCTGCCTCTTTCTTCACTACATTGATGACATTGCTGTATCGACTGATAATAAGAATAGCTGTTGCTTTATAAGTGATCAGTTGACCACTTGAATCAATAAGTTTTATTTGTGATTGAAAAACATTCTCGGGTGGCACATCACGATTTACAAATTTCTAAAATAGATTTTAAAAGATTCAACGATTTTATGTTCTAGTTCATTGTAATGATTTAATTTAAGAAATAGTTTCAAGGCTTTTGCTAATATAAATCAATATCATTGCTGAGCTTTGTGAGAAAAGATTAAGAAGCTATAGATTTAATTCCATTCAAGGCCTGCTATATACTGAAAAGTATGCTGCAATATAAACAATATTTTACACATTTTCTTATAGTATATAATTTCTGACTATCGTTATGCTAGAATTTAAAAGTAATTGTTTATAATCAACGCAAAACTCACCAATAATACAATAGGACATTTGTGAAAGATTTGTTTATATACTGGTAAATCAATATTTTTGATGGAATATTTACAATTTTCACAAGATCGTTCATCATCTGTTAAATCATCATTGTCTTTCGAAATGACTCGATGAGCCACTAATTGATTGTTTACAGTAAGTTTAAAAATAAAAATTTGATGATGTGATGATACGAGTGAATTCGGTGTTTGACGGCATAAAGGACAATAAAAGTAAGTAGAAATATCAGAAATGAGAGTTTCTTTTAATTCATTAAGATCAGAATTAGTTTCAATTATTTGACATGCTTCTTGAAGTGTAAGAGATATTGACACATCAGGAAATTCTAATGACGAAGCATCAGATGAACATCGAGCAATAGCATACACCATGTTAAATTTTGTCTGGTGAAAAATGCGTTCAAATATTAAAATACCTATAATAAGAAAACAAATTCATTAATACTTTGCTGAAATCAGTTAGAGAACATCAGACTTCATTTAAGTTTTAAAACGAGTTAGGAAGATCTCATGAAACTTCAACAGCTCCTAAGGTTCCAATGCAAATTAAAAACGATAACCATCAGACTTTGAAATATTTAGTAAGACTATTATGAAACGGATGATTATTTTGGTAAATTAATTAGTTTTGGCTTCTTATATGGAGTGCTAAAAGTAGCTCTCACGATTAAAAGGCTTTTGTCAACAGCCAAAAATTTCACTATTTCAAAATTCAAGAAGTTTGAGGACTCAACTGTATTAAGTCAAGTGTGATGAAATGTCGACTCTGTTAGCAAATGTAGAAGTAGAGTTTTACTTACGACTGGATCCATATAGACGACGTAATTGTTCTCCATTGCCAATTATTTTTTTATTAACACTGGTAGTCCAATTTTTTTTAGTTTTTGTCACTCGTATCATAACATTTTTATCACCCACACCTAAAACACTGTTAAAGGTAATTAAATCATATAATGTAGAAGATGGAGCACCAATAGCAATCCAGTGAGAGAATTCAGATACAGATATAACGGCTGGAGGTCTTCTGTACCGAAAAGTTGCTTTTGGATCAGTAATATTTATGATGAGAACCTGTGGCCATTGGATCACTTCTATATGCCGAACAGTTGATTTGCCACATGCTGAACATAATACATCCGATGTCATAGGACCGAAAAATGTAAGTAGTTCATGTTCGATGTACAGACCAGTTTTACTAATATTAACTGGAATATGTGTAATAATCACCCGTACCTTTGTTTCACTTTTACATGAATGACATACATATACTTTATATCCAATAATATTACAATGAAGAAGTGGAATAAGAATATTTTCAAGTATATACATTGATTGTTCATTTGGTTCTTTAGGTTGATCAGTATTTGGTAAGTTGAACGTAACTTTTGACATTTGATTAGTTCGTGTTGTTGATTTGCACCAATCATCAAGAAAAGTTCTTATCAAATCAAGAATAATTGGTATATTTGTTGGCAATATTGGAGGACAATTATAATACATTCCATAAGTTTGAGTAGAAAGAAGCATACATATAGCAGTATTTAACCAGCTTGGGGTAACAACCGGCAATACAAGATTGGCATTTACATTGTTTGTTGGTGCAATAAGTGATGACATTAATTCTGTGATAATAAAATCATCTGGAGCCTTGGTATAACGCCCACAATTTCTTCTATTACTTGATTTTCTCCAATGTTCTTCTATTGGTTTTAATTGTGTTTCTTTTGAAATGGTAGAATTATTCGTCATATTGCTTTCTTCGACGGATGTGGTAGTATAAGAAAATAAAGCAGTAGAAAACTCTTGGATCATGGTCAACATATCGGGTATCAAAATGGACAAAAGCACATCGATTCGAATATGAATATTGCCACCTTTGAGAAAAAAGACGATTGCATCAATTATGATGAATTAGAAATTTTTTTTTCTAATTTTCATTATTCATTCCAATCATAAAAACATATTCGAATTGTGCGAAATAAAAAAAATGTACAGAGTATATCTTTGAAAATTCTACAAAACAAATTTATTTTTAGTAGGTAGGTTACTTAGTTTTTTATACGGTAGTCAGATAAAAATATTGATGTTACTATACTGTTCTTTTTGAATAATCTAACTCTTCAATAAACAAGGTACCTTCAATAGTTTTCAACTTAATAATCTCGGGCACTGCAAAAGCAATTATTGAAACTTACTAAATTGTTCGCAACTAGTCAGAATTTATATTACCACATTTCTCTCAATAATGAAAAATGGAGTCTCAATATCTTATCGTAATAAACATCATTCATAGTTCGTTTAACAACACAAATGTGCATTCTAGTTAAGTATACCATACACTATTTTACACTTTAGTAATTGAAATTTTTTTCTACATTGTTTTTAGTGTCAAAGCATGTTCCTGTATAGAGATCTGGAATGTTTTTATTTTATTGACAATCAGTCAAAACATTCAATATCTTGATTGCAAAAAAAACGAATAGACAAAGTTGACTGTAAGAGACCTTGTACAAAAAACATTAGAACAACTGGCATCATATTAATACAAACTGCAAAAAAAATGTAAGAAATAATTCTACATTTATACCGTTAACTTTAATATTATGATGAGTTATACTTAGGAAATTATATTCACCTAATATCTGCTACAAAATTGCAAAAACATTTAGAATTTTCGTATTCTCATCAATTACATTTATAAATATCCAGTAACAATTGTCAATCCAGTAAATGACTTTCTCGTTTCACAATATAACAAGGGGATCACTTATTCAACTGATAAATGGTAATTTTGATTATTTTCCTATCTCACCATTACTTTTCCAGCATGATAAGTCATGAATTCTCTTTTAGGTTTAATGTTATAAAATATCTTGCATCAACTACTATCCTATTAATCACGGGATATTTTCACGTTGAGAAATTCACTATTGAAATAAATTTTACGTGCTTCATTTTACCGAGTTGTGCTCTTTTTAAAATACCCATACGACGTTCGCTGTTTGCAGTAGTTCGTTGTTCTGGCTCTTGAATCATTAAACATTCAAATGATCTAACAAGTCGTTGTCGATGGCGACTAAGATCACCTAAAAGAAGAGAACTATAGACGCTCATGAGATTTAATCAAAACAAAAAAAACCAATAAGAAGATTAGACCAAATTGGAATGGTTGGTAAAAGTGATGTTGTAAGGTATTTAAACCATCTTAAAATACCGTGGCGAGCAGGTTTTCGTGCTTCATCGATAGAAATTCCAATATCCTTCAAGCAATCATCGAAAATATTATTGAGAATTGATTTAAAAGGTGAATCTGTGGCGTTTGTTTCTGCTTCTTCATCAATAAAAGTCTATGTAAAAACGAAATAAGTATAGCTTAAAAAAAAAAGAAAAGAGGCATGGATTTTTCGATAGAAGTGCCCTATCTCAATATAGAGGAAAATGTAAATTGAAGTTTTAGGAGAAACTAATTTTAATATTATTATTTATTTCTACAAAGCAATTGTCTTCTATTACTAGTATCGCTAACTGATAGCTTGCTCACGAGTAAGTCGCTCAAAATGAGTCCAATCCTCTGATTTGATATTTTATCGATAAATAGAAGTAGCTGAGACTAGAAGATATTCAAAAGAATCAGAACTCATGTACTTGTAAAATTATAACGGATTTATTGAATTTTATCATACGATATTTAACACAAAAACAACTGAATAATGGAGCGTAGGTTTCATATTCTATTCATGTATAGGTTCCAAGTTTTTTCAAACATCCTAAAAGTTTCAGCTCAAATAAATGTTCATTTCCCAAGATAATGGATATACTAGAAAACTCGATTTTTCTCAACTGTTTGTGAAATACAGATGTTTCTTGTATATTTATAGACTGGAGAAGGGACACCTGTTTATGTTAAAACTTTTAGGATATTCAGAAAAAAACCTGGAACCTGTACGTTGACAGAATATGAGATTCATCTTTTCTTATTAAATTTTATTTGTTAAATACTTTATATGAGACGAAATGCACTAAAGATCTTAGAACTTTGCGAGAAAAGCACATAGACTATTATAGTTTTGGATATCTTCGAGCCTCAGCTAGTCCTACTGATGAGCAAAATATTAGTTCAAAAATTTTAGATTACTTTGAGCAATTTTCTAGTCTGAACGCATACGAATAGCATTCTCTGAAATGTATTCAATTATTTATTACTATATTTCAACACTTTGTACCAACATAAAGTTTTGCCACAAGATGAGAGATTTTTGAAGAATCTTATTAATGAGACAACTTACGCTGCCGTTTTTCTTTCTTGATGGAGTAGTTTGAGATATGTACGTGGAAAATTGTTCGTTTTGTTCTTGATCATCATCGATATCATCATAATCAAACTGATTATAATTTGCTGTTGTATTAGATGGTTCTGGTTCAGTTCATTGCATAATAGCACAAACATTTGGATCAGCTCGAATTTTAGTAATCTTGTCAAGTAAAGCATCTTGATACTCTACATTCAGGGTTTCACCACCAATATGCATTTGTAGAAGAGCAAAACATATAAGTTTCCAGTTGTGCATCATTTCTTTCCAGGTAGACGTGTTGATAAGAAGGGCAATGCACCACATCGCCAAATTACGAATTTTTTCATCAAGTAATTTATTTACCATTTTTCTTACAGCCTATATAAAAAAGCTGAGACATCATTTCGCAAGATAGAAACTACTTACTAATAAAACATGAGACAAACAGGCATGAATATTTGTTAGCTTATAATCGATCTCACTTGCTTCATTTGTAACAATACGATAAGCTCGATGAAGAAATTGGCTTGTTGTTTCAGAATTCCATATTTGCAAGGCAGCTGTTAAAAAAACCTGAGCACGATCACTTAAAACTATATTTGGTCGTGGAAAATCTTGCCCAGGAAAAACCTAGAAAATATACAATAATATCATATGTTAAAAAATACTTTTCTTAGATTCTTGTGACAATGCTCATTTCACTGATACATTTCAAAAATGTAAGTTGAATGTAACTGTTCATATTTTGGTTATTTTCAGAAACTTTGGAACGAGCTCAGAGCCAGACTGAGATCACAAGGAGTGAGAAAAATAAAACAGTGGGAGAAAAAATACGGAATGAGAACCAAATTGTGGGAAACAGTGAGAAAGAAAATGTAGGGGGAGGGGGGAAGAGAGTAAGAGAGAAAATGCAGGGGAGGTCAAATGGCAGGAAGAAGAGAAAATGTGTGAGAGTAGAACCGATGTGGAGGATAAGAAGAAAGATGTGGGATGACAGAGGAAATATAGAGGATGAGAACAAATGTGAAGGGGGAATGAGAGAGAATGTGTAATGAGAGATGAGAGAAAAAAATATGATGGGGAGGGGAAGAAAGAAGGTGTGATGGGGAGAGTAAGAGAGAAAATGCGATGAGAAGAGAGATAGAGAGGGAGGTAAGAGAGAAAATATGATGGGGGAGGGAAAGAGAGAAGGTGTTATGGGGAGAGGGAGAGAGAGAGTGCGATGAGCAGGGGGATAGAGAGGGAGGTGAGAGAGGGAAGTGAGAGAGGGAGGTGAGAGAGAAAATATGATGAGGGAGGGAAAGAGAGAAGGTGTTATGGGGAGAGAGAGAGAGTGCGATGAACAGGGGGATGGAGAGGGAGGTGAGAGAGGGAGGTGAGAGAGGGAGAGTGAGAGAGGGAGGTGAGAGAGGGAGGTGAGAGAGGGAGAGTGAGAGAGAAAATGTGAGGGGGGTTTGAGAGAGAAAATGTGAGGGTG